AAAGAGTTCTAATGAGCTTTGATTGTGATTCTCAAGAGTACTTGTCTAAGGATTATCCTTCTTGTAGGTGTCGACCTCATCACCATTGCAGGAGAAATAGGTCCACTCAGACAGAAGGTGCCTTAGAAGAGTGTCAAACTCTAAGAAGGCTTGACTTGATCGAGATCCCTAAGCCAAACTTCTGTTCAGAAAGGATTGTTAGAGATCAGAGCACCCAAGTGAACCTAACATCTTATCTTGAGCCCATTAGTAAGGTATATAAAGAGATAAGTTTGAGTTCACCTGGATCCTCTATTCTGGAAGGAGGCTCAAATAGTGACACAGAATTTGACAGGGTGATAGCTCAGCACGTGTCTCCTCTAAAGAGAATTAAACAAAGAAGATCTTACAAAATACCACAATGGCAGTTGCAAGACCCCTCAAGGACAGAATTAAAGAAATAACCACTGATCTAGATTATGCTAGTCAGTTGTCTTGCATGATCACTGAGCTCAACCTTAGTGATGAAGATGCTAAATTGTATTTTGAAACATTAAACATTGAAGCTCTTGATGCTACAATAGAACAATTAAGAATCTTCAATGAGGTGGCTAAGTACGAAGGGTTCAACCCCAAGGACATGTTTAACATCTTAATGGACAAATTTAAATCAAATGCTGCTGCTATAGCAGCAAATCCAGCTAACAAGATTGAGTTTGAGATATCAGCTATTGTTAATGGAGAGCCAAAAGATATGAAATTTTCCAATAATATGTCATTCAATAGCGACATGCAATACATCTGCCTTATGTTCATCACTCGAGGTGCAGCTTATGACAAGATAGTCAAGAAGAGTGCCGAAGTGATGAAACAGTGCATTAATATTATGAAGGTAAAGTATGGGATTAACACTGTAAAGAGGCGTGGTGGCCAGGCATTGGAATCAAGAGTCGTCACCATCCCAAGAATTGCAGCTACTTTCCCAAACATCACTGTTGACCTATTTCATAGAGGGTTTGGTAGAACTGTCTTCAACATGGATACTGCATTTCCTAATGTAGAGATTCCTAGAGCTTTCTTTTCTCCTATGATGACTGCCATTCTACCACACCTAGAGGATGCACCAGTGGCTGCTATGATGGTCTTGGCCATCATGACTGATGATGTGATAAATGGTCAAGGTGACAAGACTAGACTAGAACAAATGTTGACTTTCACTAAAGCTTCTTTTGGTTCTAATGCCCAGACTGAGAGAGTGAAGACAAAGTTGAGTCTTAGATGGAAGATCACTAACAATAAGAGAGTGAGAGTTAATGGAGGAGACAAGTTTGAATATACAGATGAGATTAAAAGTCTGAAGGAGATCTCATTGGCAAGAATAGCTGCTCTCAGACCCAATGATCCAAATTTAAATTCTGTGTTGAGAGAGTTGGAAAATTTGTAATATAATTCCATGTTTTACTTTATGTTAGTTTATATTAGCAAGTAAGTGAGTTCTTGATAGCATGTAAGATTCCTATTTTATAATTTGACATTTCACTTATGTATAATTCTAATATTCTTGTATAATTTTAAGATAAGTTTATTTTTTGTAAGTTTAAATAAAGATTAACCCTAAATAAAAACTGGAGAAACGCTGTGATAGAGGAACTTGAGTCGATGTCGATTTTCGTTTCTGGTCATAAGCTGCTGAAGATGAGAAACTGATAAGGAGAAGTCCTAGTATTCATTTTGAGTCGCCGGTCATTGATAATGACATAAATGAGCACAGTAAACTTTTACGTTATTTAAATGAGATCCCAACAAACACAGATATATTGAGACGGTTATCGGAGTTTAACATAAAAATTAATTTAGAAAAATGCACTTTCCTACAGGATGAAATTACATATTGCGGGTATATAATAAGCAAAAAGGGGATCTTAAAGGAACCTAAGAAAATAGAAGCCGTTCAGAAAATGCCTAGACCTACAAATACCACGGAATTACGCGCCCTTTTGGGCCTAATAAATTATTATGGGCGTTTTATTAAAAATTTAAGTACAATAAAGCATCCCCTAAACAATTTATTAAAGAAAAACGTAACGTTTAAGTGGTCTAAAGAGTGTGAGATCGCATTTAACAAGGTCAAGTTAGAATTCGGAAGCGAAAAGATTCTAGTTCCCTTTAATCCAAAATTACCTCTAATACTCGCGGTAGACGCTAGTCCGTACGGAATCGGAGCAGTCCTCTCTCATAGGTACCCCGATGGTACTGAACGCGTAATACAATACGCGTCGAGTTCACTATCGGAAACACAAAAGAAATATGCCCAAATCGACAAAGAGGCATTAGCGATTATTTTCGGAGTTAAAAAATTCCATCAATATTTGTATGGAAACCGATTTACCCTACTAACAGATAATAAACCGTTAGCTCAAATTTTGAATCCACAAAAAGGCCTTCCAGCGTACAGTGCTATGCGTATGCAGCATTATGCTGTTTTCTTACAAGCCTTTAACTTTGATATAAAGTATCGTAAAGCAATAGAGCATGGAAATGCGGATGGCCTGTCACGATTACCCATACAAGGAAAGAGTAAGGGAAATTTCGATGCAATTGATATTTTTTAAGTCGAAAATATAGAAGCATTACCGGTAACTGCAAAAAGAATTAGGGAAGAAACGAGCAAAGATAGAACTTTAGCAAAAATTCGAAAAGCCTTAGTAGAAGGCAAAAGCCTTGTGCCGTTAGGATATAATGATAGCGAATTTGCTTTACAAGATAACATAATTTTAAAAAAAGATAGGGTAGTGATCCCGGAAAAGTTACGCGAAAAAGTATTAAAAGAATTACACTCCGGACATTTTGGTACCGTTAGAATGAAACAATTGAGTTGAAATTTCTGCTGGTGGCCGAAAATAGACAAAGATATTGAAAATGTAACAAAAAACTGTGAAACATGTATGCGTTTTAGCAATAATCCCGATCGTAAAATTAAACACCATTGGGAAACAGCATCCGGACCATTCGAACGGGTACACGTAGATTTTGCAGGTCCCTTCATGGGGCACATGTTTTTTGTATTAGTAGATGCCTATACCAAATGGCCGGAAGCACACATAGTAAATAACATGTCGGTACAAAGTACCATAGAAAAATGTAGAGAAATATTTACCACGTTTGGTTTACCGCAAACCTTAGTTTCCGATAACGGTAGAACATTCGTATCTACAGAATTTAAAAAGTTTTTAGAGAATAACGGTATCTATCATAAATGTACGGCTCCGTACCTTTTGGGGAAAAAAGGTTTACGCGCGGTGTCATCGGCGCGGTCCAAACTGTACATGCGCAGATTTACCCGCCCAGATCAAATAAGGTGCCGACAGAGAGTGCCCATACCAGAGAGAAGCCTGAAGCCTATCACACAATGCCAGGCAACAGGCAATAGGAATAGAGAATAGAATTTTTGACGCGTTGGATTCGTCGGAAATTTTCTTCCAACCAATCCAACGCGTCAGAAATTCTATTCCCTGTTCCTATTGCCTGTGCTTTCCTATTGTGTGATAGGCTTGAGAGATGTCACGGCCCCGTTTTTCGTGATTGGCGAATGCGATACGCCCTCTGTGGACATTGAAAACGTGGACATTGAACTACGTAGCCGATGTCCACATTTTGCCAAGTGGGTAACGCAGATTTGCGAAATTTTGGTTGCGTTTCGTGCTATAGTCAGCTCCTGTGCGATGCTCTTGTACTTAAGATTATTTTAAGTACAAGATCCCCGGGCAGAAATTTGGTCAGGCATACCTGATGCACGATCAGGGCCTTACCATGTGAAGGTAAGGTGTGCCTGAAAGGGTTTTCCTGAAATCACCCTTATCTGGACCTGAATAGGTACTAATAGGGCGCCCCTGATAAAAATTGCCTGATGTTATCCTAATCAGGACCTGAACAAACAGTAATAGGGTGTGCCTGATAAGGATTAAATAATAATATCCTTATCTGGACCTGAATAGGCACTAATAGGGCGCCCCTGATAAAAATTGCCTGATGTTATCCTAATCAGGACCTATTCCCCTAACCTCCGCCGTCACCCGCGAAGGCCCGCAAAGGCGCCGAGCCTCGCGAGTGGGGGTAGCAACTGACAATGGCCTAGTTTACACCGTGCGTTTAGGCCGCAACCTATACCTTATATTCAACCCAAACACGATAGGTCGTGACGATGTAAACAGTTGCGACCTCGCTTGGATCAGGTCTCTTTTTCGCGTGCCCTGACCTAAATTAGGTCACACGACGTAACGCGTGTAAACGCAGGTGATCTAAAGATCGCCTAAAGTGCAGAGTAAACAAAGTACAAACGATATGTATGAAGTTATGTATGAAGATGGCATTCACATGAGGACTAAATTTTTACCTATATTCGACCCAAAAGTATCATAGGTCTACATGGTGTAAACGTTTTGTTTAGAAGCCTATTTTAGGTCAGGGCATAGGTCAGGTCGCGATCAGGTCGCACGGTGTAAACTAGGCCAATGAGAGTCGGCCGTGTCCCCGCGGATTGCGAGCTCTGAATTAAAATGTAATCGTATATATGTTTAATTTTAACAAATAAATTATTTTGTAGAATTGCCTGTGGAAGAATTAATACTAAAATGCTATCGGAATTTATCGGCACAAGTAGCAAGACTCGCAGGATATATCACAGAAATTAAAATAAAACAGGACGAGATCGTTTCTTCGCACCCTATTGAAATACATAGATCTTCAAATTTTTAAAAATTATATGACTTCTTAAAGAAGGAAAAAATCGAATCGATTCCTTTCAAAACATTGGAGTCTTTTAAGGTTTTTGATGCTGAATTAAAAAAAGATGAAGATCTTCGTGAAGATCTTGTAAGTAAATATAACAACATCAGAATGTGTATATGTATATGTATATATACATATATATCCTCACTCACGCGCATACACACATTCTAATTCGCATTCTTTCATTTATTTGTTCAGTCTGCTATTCGTTTCTTTCCTTCTTCATTTTTCTCTTTCTACCCTTTCTCGGCATGCAGCTACAAAACAATGTTACTTGCGTTACTTGACAATGTCGTTCTTGCGCGCACACTCACATTCATTCTGTCGCTCGCACACGGATCTTATCAATCATCGTCAATTCATTTCGCGTTCCGTTAGGCACTGCAACGCTTTTCCCTCCAGCAATCGGATCGGAATTTTTTGAAGACTCACCAAGAGAGCCAATATAGTTTCCAGACGTGGTCGTCAAGAACGTAGACAGCACGGACACAAAAACTTCATGTCTCTCGGTCCTGGTGCTTTACCTTTGTACGAGGCCAGGGCACACAATTTGCTGTGAAAGAAAAATTCATATACATATATGTATAACGAGACAATACCTATATATTTTTGGTTATTTAAATTACTGTACTTACTGTGAAACCAATCCTTGCAAAACTCCCAATCTCCTGGTGTACTTGTTCGTGTGAATTGTGTGGCTGCGTGTGTCTGTCCGCAGTGCTTGAGCTCAGGTCCATAGGTTTGCTAGGCCCAAATGACCATCGGTAGCTGGCGAGCCATAGGGTGCTTTCCAACAATGAAACACTGTGTCTTCTTCTTCTTCTAATTATGGCACCCGGCACCTGATAAACGGTAACCGATACGGTGCATCAAAATACACGTTATCAATAAATTCTAATACATATTTAAAAAGCTCCATATGTAAAAGTATCGAGCTTTTTAAATAAAATCCGAGACCCATAAATAAATGTGACACCCACTGGTCGAAGCTCAATCAAGAACGTTGCGACACCCACTGCCGAATTATCTCGATCTAACATCGACTACTGCGGACTCTGTCCTTTTTCGAGGGCAGTCCCAGCACCCAGTAGTCGAAGCTTGATCGAGAATGTTTCAGTACCTACTGTCAAATTATCTCGATTTGCATCGTCATTCGACGCGCAAACGCTTATACACGCAAGTTCAGTGCAACAAAATGCACGTTATCAATAAATTCTAATACGTATTTAAAAAGCTCCATATGTAAAAGTATTGAGCTTTTTAAATAAAATCCGAGACCCATAAATAAATGTGACACCCACTGGTCGAAGCTGAATCAAGAACGTTGCAACACCCACTACCGAATTATCTCGATCTAACATCGACTACTGCGGACTCTGTCCTCTTTCGAGGGCAGTCCCAGCACCCAGTAGTCGAAGCTTGATCTAGAACGTTCCAGTACCTACTGTCATATAATCTCGACCTAACATCGACTACTACGGACTCTGTCCTCTTTCAAGGGCAAATGTAAATGGTAAAATTCTTAAAAATGTATCCGATCTTGATCCAACTAATTTAGTGACAAACCCAGAGTGTAACATGAACAAGCAGGTGAGTACTAATAATATTAGCAAGTCATTTTCATATTGATACAATACATTCGAAAAGAAATAACACAGCAACAAAAATTAAATGATAAAATAACAAAAATTAATAATTTTACAATATTATATATATATATCAATAGGCATGATATGGTGTCTTACGCCAAGTTCACACACAGTAAAGTATTTTTATATTATATGTATTATATATTTATATAGATTTCAATGACCCAGAAGATTAATGAAACCAGATGCATTGCCACAAGTAAGCCATCGTTCAGCAGTGTTCCTCAACCCTTAATGGGACTTCCATTTTCCATTAATGTTTACTCATTGTCAGATGTGAGTAACAACACTGAAGACATGAAAACACTTGATACTGACAATGAGACTTTTGATGGTAATAACGGAATGGATGATGACAACGAAAAAGAAATCTTAAACGGTATGCTTCTTCTAATAGCATATACAGGGTGGGCCATTTCAATCCATCCAATCGAATATCTCGAAAACCAAGTCCGGGAGAGAAAAATTTTTCAGACAAAGTTGTTTGGTTTCGAGAGGGCCATAAGATGGTACCATTGGTTTGACCTTGAAAAATTATTTGAAGGTCACATAAAGGTCACACCAATCTTGTTAAACGGCATTCCCTATTTTTTATTACATATTCTTGCAGCTGACCTCGAGGGCTTTCCAAAACGCTATAATTAAGTATTTTTTTATTAAGAACTTTTTGAGTTACTAAGGTTTGAAAGTTCCAATATTTTGACATAAATTACAAAATATCTTGTAAAATATTCATTTTTTATCATCTTACCTTAATACTTCTTTTAACAGAATTATGAGACAAATGAACCGGTGTACAGAAAACACAATTGTTTTAAAAAATGTTTTTATTACTTGTTACAAAATTGTGTTTTCTTTACACCGGTTGATTTGTATCATTATTCTGTTCAAAAAAGTATTAAGGTAAGATGAAAAAAAAAATCATTTTACAAGATATTTTGTAATTTATGTCAAAATATTGGAACTTTCAAACCTTAATAACTCAAAAAGTTCTAATAAAAAAATACTTTATTATAGCGTTTTGGACCTCTCGAGGTCAGCTACAAGAATATGTAAAAAAATACGGGATGCCGTTTCAAAAAATTGGTGTGACCTTTATGTGACCTTCAAATAATTCTTCAAAGTCAAACCAATGGTATCATCTTATGGCCCCCTCGAAACCAAACAACTTTTGTCTGAAACATTTTTCTCTCTCAGGCTTGGTTTTCGAGATATTCGACTGGATGGATTAAAATGTGTATTATAAAGTAATAAACTTTTTAACAAATAGATCAAATAATGTTTGAATATATTTATTATTTGATATAGATGCAGAGGTGAATACTCAACCAATCGTTGTCGAAGATATAGGTACAATTTTGAGTAACATTTTTGTTCAAAGTAGGTTAATATCAATTCAAGTAAAAACTGCAAATAATTTTTATAAGTTGTGTATCATAGTATTGTAGTATTTTCGAATTATATTGACACTTAAGAAATTTAAATTGCTGATTGCATTAAAATGTGAATCGTTTCTCTTCTTTCAGATTCTTATATGTTTGTCCTACAAAAAGTATTGTTTATATGAGTATTATGATATCAATATACATTACTTATTTGAGATATACACGAGAAGGTCAATAGTTTGCACGTAGACCTTCAGCAATTCAAGACGGAGATGAAACACGAAGCAGCTAAATATGCAAGTAGATTGAAAGAAGTTCTTGCTATCTTGAGAGATAAATTTTCACATGGAGATGGAAACACTGATTTAACTGTGGATGTAATGCCTGACTTTCCCTTGACCTCTGTTGAGGATTATGTGACGTTCAATCAACAACTGACAAATGATGAAGCAATTCGTAAATGTTTTGTAAGTATACTTTGAGTAAGATTCAATAATACATTGATTTATTGATTGTTTTACAAATTCA